AGCTAATTCTGGATGCCTGAATGAGACTTTTATTGAAGCCCAGTGCCACCATGGCTTGAAATTTTGGTGTGCCAAGGCTTGTGGTGGTCCAGTGCACAAGGCTCTGTCCTTCAAATCATACTTCCCAGGAGCATTTATTTTTTTCTGTTTCATTGCTCCTTCGGAGTCTACATCCATCACTCTTTTTGAAGTTCTGTTAATAGCTTTGCCAGGTGATCATTCTGAAGCTACCAGCCTGATCAGCCATGTATTTCTGAATTCTCTCTCACTCTGTTTGTCCCAGATAATCCTTTAGGCGTGTATTATGTGCTGTTCTCAGCAGCCTTTCCATCTCCACTGTCCCCCCCAAGATTTAATGGTTCTTCTTGCTCATTCTGTCCCAGTCCTGCTACAGGAAGAGCCTGCATTTGAAAGGGTGCAGACAATATTTAGGGCGGAAATCATCACCACATTTTAGGGAAATCATCAGCATTTCCAGAAGCATCGTAGCCACGTATCGTACCAAATATATTTATAAAACTGCACCTTCAGAGCCTCTTGCATATGATCTCACATACTGAGCGTAAAAAAAAAGCCAGATTACGTTTCCACTTGCCAAATTATTTGTTTTCTTAAATTAGTCGAAACGATGGAGAGTTTCCAAGCCCTGACTCTGTGGCTGTCCTTAGGAGGCCAGGGTGGTGAGCTGTGTTCCTCCATCAGGCTTGAGCATCAGCTGAAGAAGGTGCTACAGAGAAAACACCAAGGAAGGGTTGGCGATGAACCTGCATGACAGAGAGAGGAACTGAAGATGGCTGCTGGTCAGAGGAGCATTAACAGGTAAGTAGCCATGTGATTTGCCTTTAGTTATGAGACAGGTATTAGTCTCACTGGGGAAAGAAAAATGCACTGTGGAAAACAAATTGTATAAATAACACCATTTATACATGGTGTTAACCATGTATGTTAACCATAGCTGCTAACAAAATGAGTATACCAGCTAGGCTGATTATAATAAGCTCGTTTTATATGATTTTTTTTGAAAAGCACGGTGACTAAGTTGCCAAGTATATGAGCACTTACTAAACAGAACATTTTGTGACTAGAACTGCTTAAGTACAAAGATAATGGAGGGTGTTAAAATATGTTGTATAAGCCAAAACACATTTACAGGAACAGACGTACAATAGTAACTCATACTAAACATAGTATCCAGGTGCTAGCTGTGGTCAGTGAATTCCTAAATAAAATAGTATTCTATAAATTAATCTACTATACGCATTCTATAGCACATTTAAAGCTCATCTTGTGAGATCTTTGTTTTCTAACAGTTAAAATAAATAGGATAGTAAATAGATGAAATTGCCATACAAACCCAAGTATACATATGTTAATGCTATCTATATTAATACGAAATGATCTTAACTCTTAAAACAGTGGCTCTTACTGATCGTCTTTGACAAGTGACAGCTCAGAAGCTTTCTGGCTGTATCTCTTCATGGTTATGTTTTACTGTTTTGATGTTTATTCATTTCCTTATTATAACTATTCCCATCAGATTTTTGTGCTTCCCATCAGTTATTTCCACTTCGGTTTTGACACATAATACATGTGTCTGCCAAAAGTCCTGCTGAGAGATTGCTATCAGGACAAAAGAAAGTGTTAGAAAGTCTGTTAAGTAGCGACAAGAGAGCAGAGTCTACAGGGACAGTCAGTCTGCAACCCTTGTGCTGCATAAAAAGCGGAATTTATTTACAATTTAGTCTGCTGCAGGCTTTAAAATAAACGTGTCAGATTTCATTCATTTCCCTTTGTCTGTGACATCTGATTGTCATTGTCCGGGAAGAATCAATGAAGCATTGTAGAATATTTAAAAAAAAAAAAAAAGTTAAGGTCAGTGTACTGCATTTATGGCAAAAAGCTCGAGTTAAGGAATGAAATTGCATTAATTCTGTTGAAATTCTCACTTGATGTCTACATAGGATCAGAAAAGTGTAGGCTGGATGGGACTTTCAAAAACTGTTTGCTGCTCCTCCCCTGTCTTGTCTTCTCCAGGCTGAAGTGGAGCAAGAACACATCCACCATCTCTCACAGGGGTGAACCTCACTGTTTGCATTAATCTCTAACGAAGGCAGTTCAATAAGCTCCTTAGAGTGATTTTCTGCAGGGAGTAGTATCCTTGTTATTGAAAGTTTTTAATACCTGGTATCGAATTTTCATACTTTTGGTTGCAAGTGAACCTGGTTTGTTTTGTCCTACCCGAATATGAAGAGTGATCCCCGAGGTCCCTTTTTGCAGCAGCTCTAGACATTTTCGAAGACTGTTGCCAAGTCAACCTGCTGGGTTTTTTTTTCTAAACCAGCCGATCCCAATTACCTTTCCAAATAGTCGTGTTTTTAAGATATTTTATTGAGCTTTCTTAAGTATTCCCCCTTTGGTCCACTTTTTTAGTGTGGTCCCCTAGTGCCAGCTGCTCTAGTAATCAAAGTAATAATTATTTCAGTGTTTTACATCAGCAGACAAATGTTGCTTTTTCAAAATAATAATTGTCACTATCCTGACTGATTTTCTGTTTAACACAGGTCCATATTTTCTGTTTATCTACCATACTTCAGTAAAATACGGTGAAGAACCAACCCTTCCTATACCAGCAAACATAATTTTTATCTCCTTAAATGCTCTCAACCTGCAGCCACCAGAGGGCATGTTCCAGCTTGCGAAGTTCGTCATAGCACTAATGTTACTTCTTGTTCGAGTATCCAAATTTTCTGGGTCTCTTATTAACATCTCATTCTGAGTTTAATTTTTTACTCTGCTCTTAATTGTGGTATATCAGAAAAAAAAACTATTGTCAGGTGGGGTTAAAAAAGTCCTGTGCTTCATTAGTTGAATGAAGCACAAATTTTTTAAAAATCAGGATTAAAAGCTATTTTGAGACAAATAGTCTAGATTTTATAACACTAGATTTATTAGATACATTATACTACTCGTATATGACTGAAATTCAGATCCGTAGAACACTTAAGGAGGAGCCAGCTGGCAGAGTACCTTATCTCGAAATACTTCTGATGCTATTCCTTTCCATGTTGTTCCTGCCAAACTGTGTGCAGTAGGAGCATTAATAATGTCTAATATACTGTTTATTGCATGAATTTTGACAGCTGCTCTATATTTCTCAACGGGATTGCAACAACTAAATCAGTGCATCTCAGGAAAATTGCTGTCTCCAAAAATGAACAAAGTGTGCTCGCATCTTCTGGTGCAAGAGAGGTGTGTATCGTGCTCACCGACAATTAACTTAGCAGTTGCACTTTCAGTTACTAACAGCTTGTCTGTTGCCTTGCTAAGGCCCTCTCTTTTCAGAAGTCAACTGATTTTTAAGTCAAACATAAAATTTTATTTAAAAAAAACAATGCTCAGTTCAAACCTGCCCTGAAAGAAAAAAAAATCTCTTCATTGTCAATAGATGTCTTGGCGAGGTTTCTAGTGCACTGATTTTGAACGCTAAAAAAAATAAATCAAAAGTGCATTATTTTTCTTTCTCCTTATCCCTCTTTCATTTTTAACCTAAGTTATTTTGATATCAGGATTTCTTTCTCACCTATGAAGGGAATAAAATGATGTTGAAATAAGGTTTCTCATAGTGAACTTAGAGGTCAGGAGACTGCAGTGCTTTTCTTCATTGCCAAGGGCATTGCAACCCATTTGTTTTGTGAATATATTAGTCTATTGTTCAAGATGAAAACGGTCAAAGACAGATCAGTTGAAAAAACAAGGTTCCTAATTTTAAATTACTTATTATTTTTCATACAAATACATTATTGCAGTGCCCAGAAACCTGGAAGAGGCTTTGCTGCAACAGCTGCTGCATGTGTCCTCAAGTTGAGATTATCCTCACCCCTGAAATTTTTGCAGTCCATAAAATCCCAGATGTCTTGTAAATACTCCTTTCTAAGCTGGCTTCGATAAAGGGAGTGAATAACTGCTTTCCAGGAACAAGGTAGAAGAAGGCTTGGAGGAACTGAGGTTCAGAGGAATGTCCTGCTCCAGTTATTGCACCTCTTCCCAAGGGACCGTGGTGCCTTAAGACTCACCCTGGCCATAGGGGAGAAGGGACTTCTCCCTTGCTGGCCTTTCAAATCAGCACATTTGATTTCCTGGTTATTGTATAATACTGTTATTGTATAATATTCTATAATATTATTGTATATTGTATTTTTATACTCTTGTTGCTATGTTAGCATCCTTGAGAGCTTGTATACTTTATGATAACTCTCTTATAGCTTGTTCCCTCTGTCTCCTAAAAATACTTTTATGGAGAGGCATTGTCATTCTTACCTTCCATGGGTGCTATGAGACAGCAGTATTTCTGTTGCTTCCTTCTTTCAGTTGGAGGCTGTCAGCACATTTCAACCAGGAATAAATTAGCACATTCTTACCAAGTTGTAATAAGGGGATACATGAGACACTGCCTTCTCAGCGAAAATAAACATGGCAGCAGTCTGACAAAACTCTTCAGCAGTTTAAGTATTCAGTTGGAATGAGAAGG